CTGTAGGTGATCTTTTTCACCTTTTTCAGCATTTATGTCATTAGGTTCTCATTCGGATTGTACAATATTACTCATCTGCTTTTTATTTACTCACCAGTATGGTATTGAATGTTTGTTCCATCCCCTCATCAGAAGCTGCTATCTCATTTTATTCATGACACAGACACTAAGTCACTTTTTATAAGCACTTGCACTAATTATCTCTTATTTTATTATATCTGTTATAGTTAATTGTTACTTTGTTAGATTTCTTTTGTTATTCTGTTTTGCACTATTACTACTGTTCTTTTTAAGCTCTTTACTGTCTCATCTTTATTCTTCTTGTTGCACTGAGCATGTTTAAGACAAAATAATTTCCTTTGGGATAAATAAAGTTCTTCTTATCTTATCTCCACATTACTGGATTATTGGTGCATATGCAAGTGCCACTAATAAATACACTAATTATAATCTGGTCCAAAATATTTCATTAACCTAACTGGACCTGCTCTACGTAAGCAAGTCAGTATGACTCCCAAATCCAGGACAAGAGAAAATCTTACATGCAATGTCATCCTTTAGGATTAAAATTGGAAAGCAAAGCAGAATCAGGGACCTGCTCATTCCACTTTGGAGGTGGGATATCACAGGAGGAATTTCACAGGAGGGATTTCACAGGAGGGATATCACAGGAGGGATTTCACAGGAGGGATATCACAGGAGGGATATCACAGGAGGGATATCACAGGAGGGATTTCACAGGAGGGATTTCACAGGAGGGATATCACAGGTTGAATGCACCTGTAGCCAGAGCCCTCAGATTCACTGCAATACAAATCCAGGAAAACTTAAGATTTCAGTCCAGAAGCGGCTCTCCAGTCAGCTCACGCAGATAACAAGTAATAATGTAACCGGTCTGGCTGATAAAAGAAACCTCAACTCAGGTTAAAAGAGGACAAAAAAAGTCCCATATGAAGGAGATGCATGGCTTGGCATGCAGCACTGAGGGACAGAACCTCCATAGAACCGGGAAGACGCTAACCGACCTGGCTGAACAGAATCAGAATCTTTTTATTTACCAAGTAAAACAAGAACAGGGGGCTTGTTTTGGTGTATGTGCTATACAATGAAACATACAATCAAGGCAGAAATACAAAAGACAATAAATAGAATAAAAAATGATAATAAAAATCAAAATAGAAATGTGTGAAAAATAAACAGGTAGATATGTAAATAATGGTGAGACGGCCAAATGCAGGGTGCAGGAAGCTTTGGGGTCTGTGCAAAATAGCTTTTGAAATATGAATAAATATGAAACAATCCCATTAGTGCCAGTGTGCTCCGCATGGGACCTTCTTCAGGAGGCCGGTGGCCTGTGGAGAAAAGCTGTCTGGTGGGGATCAGCCCTCGTACTCAGCTTGGATAAGGGAGACTCCGGAAGGAGTAATGAGCGATGTTGGTCGGGTGCAGGGAACTCCTCAGAACCGGCTGGCCCGGCTGAAAGGGGACGACCCGCTTCGTGTTCGGCGTGAGCTGGGGGCGGCTGACACGGCCATTTATAATGTGGTGCAAAAAACACCCACAACAAGGCTGAAACCAGCCATCTTTGTATGCGTCTACGTATCAGAAGTTATAGGGAGGGGTATATTAATAGCAAGGGCAGGACCTAGAAATTCTCAGCGCCCTGACAAAATATCACCCTGACCCCCACCCTCGCCGGGGGATCCATACCCCTCCGACACCCCTAATAACCAGAATATTATTTTAACAGAAATTTATTTAACGTTCAGTTCTCTACTGTATTGCTTTTTAACATTGTAAAACTGAGGCAATGCTATTTTTTGTTATGCCAGTAAAGGAAGCCAATTGAAACAGACAGATGTTCAGAGAAGGACTGAGGTATGGTTAGGGTGGGATAGGGGTGGAGGACATGCAGAAGACACAGAGAACCCAGCAGTCAGCAGGTCCAGAACTAGGGCTCAGGACCATGGAGGCTGTTTTCATGTTTGGTATGAACCTGGGAGGTCATGTCCCTGCACAGGAGCAAGAGTGTCAGTACATTACAGAGACAGATTATGACGCATAAAAGGGAATCAGAAAGCCCTCCGCAAACCCTGTTTACATCACCTTTTATATTTTCCCTGCCCACGCCAATCTCACGAATTGCATCCAGTCATTTATGGTAACATAAGCAAGGCATTCTGGGTAAAAAAAGCACATTTCTGAAATGTAATGATGCTAAGTTTTAAAACATGTGTGATTTATTTTAGCTTACATACATATATGTAGTTTGACGTTCCAGAGGTCCATTATTTTGCTGCATAATGCGTTTTTTATATTTATAAAATTTCAGAAATTCTACTGTGCTCGATGATGAAGCACAGTAGAATGATGAAGCTGTTTCTTTAACATATGCTGGCTTGTGTTGCTGCATTTGGTGAAGTGCGTGGCAATAGCGGAGCATTAATAATAAACAGGAATGCTGCAGTACGTCAGGCCATTAATACTGTACGGAAAATAGCAGCATGGATTATATTCCAATAAAGGGGGCATGAAGGAAAACTCTGTGTAGGTGCAGCGTTAGACTTTAAGCCTCAGCTGTGGACTCATGGTGGAGCAAGCTAGCTAATTAGCGCTCCAAAAGCACGGCGTAGCACAACAAAGGCCGACTTATCATATCCACTGCGGCCTTTGGCTGGCTGCTCCCTGTTCCTTTGTGTATTTTTAGCTGGACCCATTTGGGTCAATGAGCTCTATCCACTGAGAGCCCATGACAGGGCCAATACCCTCTGTGCACCTCGTTCTCCACGGTGGAAACGGGGAGAGGGCTCAGGCGAGAGGGAGTCACTCGTCGTTATCGCTCGTCGGATAGAGCCGAAGAGTGCCACCCGCTGGAAATAGTCGCTTCCTGGTTCAATTTTTCTATTACAGCTGGAACACCCCCCATCTAGAAAACTACGATATATATACCATAGTTTCCCAACCCAGTCCTCGGGGAACCCTGGACAGTCCACGTTTTTGCTTCCTCTCAGCTCCCAGGGCACCTGATTCTGTGTTCCTGATTGGCTGGGAGCTGGGAGGGAGCAAAAACGTGGACTGTCTGGGGTTCCCCGAGGACTGGGTTGGGAAACACTGCCATGGGTTGCCTCTACTGACTTAATGCACCAATATAAGATTCAGGAGCCAGATAAAGCAGTTGGTGCTAAAATAGACTTAAAGGTATAAGGAAGAGTGAGGTGGTGAGTGAATAAGTTGTGGTTTGATCAGGCATCTGCAATCGTGCCTCAGGTCAGGAAGCCTGGCTGCCCTGGACTGACTTAATTCAGCTTATTTCTAATAAGCGATGAAGGCAACCGAGCTGGATTTGGAAGATGCAGCTGATCTCACTGATCACAGTTGGTACGCAAAAACATTTACGGAGGTCCTGTTTTCAGTTAGCTGTGCTCATAATCATGTATGCTATGGTAAAAAAAAAAGTGCCTTGTATGATTGAACTCCTCCCTGTCCTTTGGCAGAACCGCCCCCATTACAGTTACTGGGAGAATTGGTAGGACATTGAGGGAATGCAATTGGACTGTGCCAGGAAGTTTACGTCACCACTCAATATGGAGAATGTCAGTCAGGGAGTAATCCAAACACTTGCAGAACAGTCAAGATGTCCCCAATACCAAAAGCACAGGGGTGATTGTCTTCATATGGATAATCTATGATTATCTATGAGTAATGTACTACCACAGAGCACCAAATCTCTGATCTAAAGCTCAGCTCTGAGCTTAGATACAGTCAAGAAGTTTGACATACATCCGACAAATATCAAAATCTCTACGGTACACTTGCCACGTTCCGCTGTAAACTTAGTGAGCACCTTCACCAGTGATTATAACAATCGAACCATCCCTGCTAAACTTTCCAGAGTGCTGATGAGGGCTAACCCCGTGCTGTTTAACCACAATTTAATCTTCTGCTGTTCTAGGTACGCTATCAAGCCTTACTAAGAACGTGACTCCCAATGAAAATGAATGGGCTAATCTTTGCAATAAAACTCACTGCACTGAGTCGCGGCCCGCCGTCTGCTATGGCAGAGGCGGGACTTTAGTGATCTTACACCCACTGCGAAGATGATGTCAGAGATGCTGTTAGGCCATATTTTTATATGTTCACACACACACACACACACATAAAGAGCTGTACTGCATACAGATGAACCCTAGTCCAATTCATCACTTAACATAATCTGACAGGCCAGAGCTGGAATAGGGTTTAACTAATGGGTGTCACAGTGATAAGTCGCCCGTTTATTTATCGAAGTGCAGTGCTGCAGTGTTATCACCAGCAGTGCAGGGGGAAGCAAAGGAGGAAGGGGAGGCTGCACAGTGAATTGGGAGCCCAAGAAACCAACAATCACTGCAGCCCACCATGAGAAAAACAGCCAACCATTTGGAATTTTTTCACACAGGTATCTAAAAAAAAGAGAGAGCAAGAATCAGCCTGAGGTGTTAAGAGTGTTAAACACAGCACTGTTCCAAAGGGGAGTGTGTCTTCTCTTACCAAGATCTCCATCGTACAACCATGCTCGTTAAACGGCAGAATAAAATGCGTGGAATTTAAGTGAAATACAGTTTGCAGCACTGAATAGTAATGGCAAGATTGTTAGGCATTTTCCGGTTTTCCTTTAATGTATTACATTGTATTTTGTTTCATTTTAATTTTCAGCTGTATCAATTGTCATACAAACATTTCCAAAATGCAGGGATGCAGAACTTGATCGGCCAGTGACCAAGAATAGCTGATTTCCTGCTGATCTGTCTAAATATGGCCAATTTTATGAGGCGATCAAGTAGTTTGCCAGCTAACATTACTTTTTGTCCCTACTTAGATTGCAGCCACAATTGTGTCCCCCGCCCTTCAACTTTTCTCCCCCAGCTGTTGCGTGATGTGAGGCAATTCACTTACAGACAACATGGCAGTATAAAGAATACCCCAAAAGCCACGAAACTGGATTTTAAGAAACGACAGGTGAATTAAGTAAATTAGGAGATGCAGTGTTTATTGAAAGCCGGTCATTTCACACAAGCTCCCTCAGCTGACTGACAAGCAATGAAATGTAAAAAGAAAATGGGGTTGAATTGTCAATTAACAACACACAGAAGTGGTAATGGGAAAGCCAGGTATGAAATGTCTCATGTATGATGGCTGATGAAAGAAAATCACAGACAGAAAGAGTCTCCATGTTTATTGTCGTTTTGAGGGGCAGGTCACAGCGACGGCTGTTTCGGAAATAAACAGAGGACGTCTACTTCTGTACCATCTCCACCCCCTCCCCCCTCCCCAGGGCCTTGGCTTGGTGAACATACAGTGCATCTCGGTGCATTTTCACGTTGTCTTACTGTCCACATGTTCTTACAACACAAAACCCACATCTCCACGTCCCCAAAACCCTACTGGACACCAGTCAGCTGTGTTTTCTGACCCCACGTCAGATGCTGCTCTGGATGAAGAGTGTCTCTCTCTCTCTCTCAGCCACACACACACACACAAATATACATCCCATTTTAACCCTTTCCCTCCCCCAGCAGTACCCCAATCCACCCCGCCTCCCCTCAGCCCGCCCTCGCACTGAAGAATGGCAGCGCCTTGATGAAGGAATCCAGCCTGCTGTTGAAGAGCTCACTCCGCAGGCTCTCACCCAGGGGACAGAGGGGGTTCTTCACTATGTACTCCACATACAGCTGCAGACAGATATTGCCCAGCATCAGCACAGTCGTATATGGTACACCCCCCCCCCCATACAGTAATACAGTGTTAACCTTCTCCTCACCGTACTGTAGATCTGGTGCAGGATGTCCCTACAGTTGGGAACACCCAGGTCAGTGTTCATCACTACCTTCACCCCCGTGGGCGTCTCATAATAGTGAAGCTTGTAGCGACTGGTCTGGAAGGACAAGAAGCCATCCTTCCTGGGAGGCGTGCAGGAGTTAAGGAGCGACACACAGGGAGAGGCACCCCTCCTCCAGGACACAATCGTTACCCAGGTTAACGTCACCCCTCTTCCTACAGCCATTTTGCTCACACTAAAAAGTGCGCACTTTCAGCAGGATACATATCTAAAGGGGACATTTTGCTGACAAAGGAGCGGATGGAGAACAGCATCCCATACATAAGCTTAAATTCCTAAAAACACAGAAAACAGATTAATACTTGTACAAAATCACAGAGTTAATCACATGATAGGTAGTCGTGTGGATATTTTAAATGCACGCACTGCGTGTGATGTTCACGGTGCAAGTCTTGCACTTTTAACGCCAAGAAGAAAGGAGTTAAAGACAGGGTCGCCAACTTTGGTCAGCTGGCCTGAGTGAGATTCAATTCAAGACAAGTCTGCACATACACGCACATGCATTTACATGTATGTTTATAATGGAATAATATAGATTTGCCGTGAGATTTCTTGCGAGGGTCTGAGTCTGAAAGCGTGAGTGTCACGCCAGATGCGTGAGAGTTGGCAACCCTGTAAAGATTCGTTTTGCTAAGTGTTAAAATGTGGAGAAACGGCAAGCTGCTCGCCTCCTCCTTGGAAATGCCGGCCTGCTTCTTTCGGTTCCACTCGCTGTAGTGCAGGCACGCGCCATTGCGGTCGAATATGTACAGGTTGTGGACCGTCATCTGCTCGGCTCAGAGCTGAAAGGTAAAGCACACCGGCTACCAGCTGTACCGCAGAGGGTTTACCTTTACCGGGAACACGACGCCATGCAACAGCGAGTACATATGGATGCCGGTCTAAGCACAACAAAAGAGCTAACTATCGACGTGACATTATTCAGTCGAAGTTTTACGTTCAAGCAGGTGCACGAATAAGTTTTTTTTTGTAAATTCGCAATACAGCAAAACTAAGCATTCTACGAAAGTAGTAAATATTTAATAAAACACTCCACGTTAGCTACATTTAGCCCGTTAGTGCAATTTCGGCATTTAAAGGAACTAGCTGCTATATAGCTATTTTTATGGTACATATAAAATGTACCATAATTCAGAAAGTAAACCGTTTCTAAATGTGATATTGGGAGATTAAAATTAAACTTTACACGGAATAAACATACTACTACCAGTTTTATTTAGCTTACCTCAAACAGACAACCGAAACATCAGCCACCAACAAAACTTCCGGTTTAGCCGATGAGTCACGTTTCAAAATAAAAGGCCTAGTTCATATTTTTAAAGTAGTATATGTCATTGCGAGCCAATAGGCAGATAAACTATGAATCATCTTAATCGTCATCAAATGTCAATATTTATTCCGCACAGTTATGTTTTTTTTCCATTGTATGTCGTAAAATACCAGAATAGAATGTTTTAGAGTAAGTTAAATTTATCTATATATTAAAGTATTGGTTCATTATCAGTAATAATTTAACCTGTAATACTTACCATTACTAATCGAAGGGCATGTTTTAAACATGTTTAAGTCACTCAGAGTTTGGGCAGGTACAAAAGCTACGTTTAACTAGTTACTAGTTAACTAGTTTAAGTAGCTAATATGATGAGTTATTATGTTCTCCACTTGGCCAGAGTTGTCTGGATTTGTTAGTGTCTTGAGCAGTTTCTCCCCAAAAAAAAATGGAGCTTATATATTCTTAAATTCAGCTCCAGTTAACCTCAAGAATTTTTGGAGGAACTCGTACTGCCAGTTAATAAGTTATTAATAATATTTTATTGAATGATTACATGATAGAACAGTCATAATATATGAATAAAGTCTTAAGCATGTGTATTAGACAGCAATATATATGGAAAGACTGACAATTATTGTAAATTTGCGTTTTTAATAGACTTGATGAAATGAAACAGAGAAATAGCAAATAACAATTAGTCATGTTTATTTACTGTATGTATAATGCTGTTACCTAAAAGACTCTGGTTGATGTATATAATGCAAAGAGCAGTCAAATAAACAAGTAGTAAAATATAAAATACTTCATGTTTGGCAGTTATGAACATGAAAGAAAATTATTAGCTAATAATCCAGTAATAGAGCAGGAGCTTCTTTAATAGGCCTTTCTTGGAATTGGGTGATTAGGGAGCAGCCAGTCTTTGTTTAGACAGATGTTTCTGATGTATCATGGCTGTCGACAGCAGATGTGTCTATGTTTCCTGGTAGAAAGTCCACTCCTGTGGCCATCAGAGGCATCAGCGCCATTGGATCCCCTACATTCATGGACTGTCCCGCTGGTCCCCTTTCTCCTGGCTTCCATTCCCACTCCCCCACCACCCACTCATTTCCTGCTGTCACTCCACTCCTCGAGCTCCTCTCCTTACTACCCACTCTGCTCTCCTCCTGCTTCCCATCCACTTGCTCTTCTCTCAGGATCAAGCTGTACCGTGTCATCAGCTCTCTGGACTCTTGCTTCATCTCAGGGTCTCTGTCACTAAGCTCATAGCTTTGCATGTGCCTCAATACTGATGGCTCCCCATCGCGATTCACGACCCTGTACAATGACTTCCTGATAACGTCCTGGTTCTCCCGTCTTTTAATAGACACAGGTCCTGTTTCTCCCTCTTCTCCAGCTGTTGCATCCTCCTGGCCCATCTCCACAGATGTCAGTGCTGCATTTTCTCCCTCAGATTCACCCTCATCACTAACAGATACAAATAGCATTGAGCGGAAAACAGCCTGCACCCCTCCTGTCCCTTCCAATGGCAGCGAGATGTCCTCTGCTCTGTCGGCCGTCTTAATCTTTCTGTTCTCCGCAGACCCTTCCACGCTCTTTAACTCGTGCCTTAGATGCTCTGTTTTTGCCCTCTTCCAACGGGAAAGCGGCAGGTAAACTCGAATGTAAATTCGGAGGATCCAGAAGCAACCAACACAGAGCCACAGGCCTAGCAGGATACAGAGGCATAAGTATCCCACAAACAGCCACCAGCAGTACACCACCACTGGTCCATTCTGCTTGCTCCTCTGCCCCTGTTCCCCAAACATCCTGACTGAAGGACTGAACCCAGTTGGAAGCATGGTCGTGGTCAAAAATGTAGGCTCTACTGTTATTTCTGTACCAGTTCTTGGAAGGAATGTGTTTACTTTCGTTTGTCTTGAGTATGTGGTTGATGTAGGCTGTACGGTTGTGTCTGTACGAATTGTTGGAGGTAATGTGTTTACTTTCGTTTGTCTTGAATATGTGGTTGATATACGCTGTACTATTGCTTCTGTAGCAATTGTTGGAGGTAATGTTCTTGCTTTCGAATGTGTTGAGTGTGTGGTTGATATAGACTGTACGATTGCTTCTATAGCAGTTGTTGGAGGTAAGGTTCTTGATTTTGAATGTGTTGAGTGTGTGGTTAATATAGGCTCTACCATTGTTTGTATATCAGTCATTTGAATTAATGTGTTTGTTGTTTGGGCTAGTGTATGTTCTTCTGAGAGTACCGTTTCTGTGTCATGTATTGCAGTAACTGGCGTAATATCAGTTTGAATTTCAGGTTCAGAACAATATCCGTTTTCCAGATTGATTATAGATCTGTTTTTCAGATGGCTTGGACTGTCACACACTACACTTTCTGGGTCGCTCAAAATGGAATCTGGACCAGTATGGATGTATACATTGAAGCTTTCATCATCCAACCAGCTTTGCAGATACTCCATTTCACAGTTACATACCCATGGGTTCTGGGATAGGTAGACATAAGGAATATTAGGCTTTGAACTGAAGAACTTGTTTGGCAAGCTAGTAAGATAATTGTTCTCTATGTCAAAGGTCTTGAGGACAGTGGATGGAATTACGTATAGCAGGTCCTTAGGCACAGCCCTGATTCGGTTTTGGGAGAGATCCAAAATCTCCAGATATGTCAATCCCCTGAAGGCAGCACTGTTCAGAGTTTGGAGCTGGTTCCCATCCAAGTAGATCTCAACAAGTCTGGCTGCGGCAGCGAAGGCATCTGCTGGTAGCTCCTGGAGCCTGTTGCTGGAGAGCCATAAGATCTTCAGTGTAGGGAGGACCAACTCAGATGTCCTTAGTAGTGCAGACACTTGGTTCTGGGAGAGATCCAACTCATGGAGCTTGGAAAAGTTTGTGTAGGCAGTCCAGGACAAGGACGCAAAACTGTTATTTTTGAAGATTAATACTTCTGTGGTCCATTCTACTGTAGAAGGTATGTCTCTCAGGCCCATATCTATGCAGCTCACCAATGGCTTGTGGTCCGTGTTTGTTCCACTTACACAATTGCTGCTGGCCTGCTGGCAGCACTGGTATAGGAGGAGGAGGAACTGCAGGAAGAAGAGGTTCATTCTGCCCCACGCGACAGTCGCAGCCCTTGCAAGAAAAATGAAGCCAATTTAAATACTTGATTAGAAACCTTTTGCTGTAATAACATGGAGGCTAGTACTTTACCAGCACTGACTTTAACAGCATTCACCAATTTGTACTACAAACTCCATATAATCTATCCATGATAGCTTTTAACCTAAGTACATCATCAGATTATAGTGTAGTGTTCAGTAAACATCTTCCAATACTTAACACAATTGAGCATGTCTAGGTTTCGTTCAGGTTTATGTTTTATTAATTAAATCAAAATTAAATCAAGTTATGAATTAAAAACTGACAAATTATGAATACGAAGAAAATATTTAAAGAAATGAATACCAAAACTCTTCTAAGTTTTTTACAATTAAATTTCGGGTACTGCTAATTAATAAAAAAATTAATTAAAGAAATACATTTTTAAGTTCATTGAGTTGAAATAAAGACAAAAAAGAATTTACCTTATTTCTCTTTGGTGTTACTGTTAATAGTGAAGTGCGTTAAATCTTGAGTCATTTAGCCTGTATTGACTTTGACTGAGTCCATGTGTATCCCGTACTGCCTCATAAGATATGTCTGTGGATGTCAGGCACATTATAGACGACAGATCATCCCACAAACATGCTGCCACGTCTCATCTGGAGCGTGACCTGCGCATCCTGAGAAACCCTATCTCGCTTCCTTCTGTCAGTTCGCGTCACTCAGCCCAAACCCCAAAACCTGGGCACCATTTGCAGAAAGCTGACCCTGCGTTTCTGCTTTGCACCAAATCCTATTGTTTGACCATCCGTTTGCTCCACAGCCTCTCTATCAGCGTTGACCACGTTGGCAGGGCCTGAAAACAGGAACCGACTGTTGTACTTTGTGGTCAGGACAACCATATCACTGGTCACAAGCATTAGAACTGGAGGAAGGATGAATACAAAGGCATAGATTAATTAAGCATCCATAATTTTATTCTGGACTAAGAATAGTATCTGTTTCGCCACCTACAACCCGCAAGTTCTGACAGTGGCATAAATATTGGTTCCATCCATTTTTTATACTTGCTTGTCCTATGGAATCTCATGGGGTTTTGGAGCCTATCCTGGAAACTACGGGCACAAGGCGAGGAATAACCCAGGATGGGGTGCCAACCCAATGCAGGGCACACACACCATTCACAGTTTGGGAAACCAGGGAATCTGGAACTTGTGCAAATTCCACGCATGGAGCCATGGCGGAGATGTGAGGCAACAGCGCTAACCATTGCGCCACCATGCCGACTCAAGAACTTTTAATTTGAAAGTCTATTTATGTCTAAGTTCCTTGTGGTTTAACAGTACAAATAATTAAATACATTGTACAAATTGCCCTTTCAACACAAAATGCAGAAATGTAACTTCTTTGTTTTGAAATGATAGTTTGTACCACACCATTATAAGGACTCATACTCACACGTTTAACCTAATATGGTTCATTATTTATGGTTGGATTTTGTTTCAGAGTTTATCTTTCCTCACCTTTTGGTCCAACAATTAGAAGAATATATTGAGCGAAAGGCAAGGCACCTTTCAAGGTGAGACAACAGAAGTATGCCTGGGAGATGGAGTGAAGGGTGTGGATGTTCCAGGAAAGGGACAAGGTCCTCACGCCTCCAAGCTGTCCTTCACTTTGTGGAGCGCAGTGACAGGGACAGGAAGTGACACGCCAGCTCGGGTGGTCTTCCTGTCGGCTGTTCTCCGCGGAATGGCTGAGTTGGGTGTTCGCTCTGCTTTCCCCGGCTTCTCGTATCCTGAGGATGCTAATGCTAATCCTAGCTCTCCTGCCTCAATGGGGATCTGCTTGCCATCCCGACAGGCACACATACCATAATAACATCATAACATCCTTATTGGATAACTTTTCACTTTACTTTTGTACTTATATTTATTTCCTGTCCAGCCATCCGTTTATTTATTTATTTATTGGCGCTCGACAGACACAGCCATGAGAATTTATTTTCCGATAACCATGTGACTTTTAGGTTTTCCGAGGGTTGCCAGGTGGGGGAGCCCAACCAGTCACTCATTCAGATCAGTGCTGTGCAGAGCCTTTTTCGGAGAGCAGGTGCTCAACTGGCGGGGAAGCATCTCCTCAGTAAATTTTGCAGGGGTGGCATTCAGCATCTCTAATGGCACCTTCAATATTTTGGCAAATGGGGCCGGTACTCAGTGCATGCCCCCCCATGTGACTAGTCTTGTTGAAAACACACAAGCCTAGTAAGCAGGTGTTCACCTAACCATGGCTTTTGGCCTGCATACCTTTTCCCACTCTTCTGCTCTTCCCCCTGATAATCTACAACCTCCTCTACCCTGCTTATCTGGTGCTCTCTTTGTTCAGTCTTACAAGCGGGACTGCTTTACAAATACAGAAGTAGACTTTAGTTGCAATGTTAAACTAATGCCTTTCAAAAAATGCATTTATCTTTCAGCAGGAATGCAAGTCACTGGGCTGCAATTACAAATGCTCACCACTAGGGGGTGTGGAAGCACTAAACGCCAGAAAGACCTCAGAACTCCCAAAACCTAGCAACCAAAATAAAACGAATCCATAAATGAGGGTTATGAGGTATATTGTACGATGATGATTCTGTGTGATTCACTAGTTGTACAGTTAACATCCAAGTATCCTTAGGCCCATACTGGGCAGATATAGTTGCTCAATGCAAAACACGAGTGACTTTGACTTTTTAGTCACTTTGAGCAAAAAGGGTGATTGTTTCAGCGAGAATTCCATCGGCTGATGTGGAACAATGACTGTGGTGGTGTTGGCAGGGATATTCTGAAGGAAAGACAGGCAGCTGTAGGGGGACGTGCACACGCCTTGATTGTGATGTGTGTGCACTGGTTCGAGATACAAGGATGCAAGAAGAGCGACTCTGCATCCGCTGACTGCGAACACGACCTCAGGCATCAGCGAGCAGTTCCAGTAAGAACCATCTGTTGAGAATTTTGCGGGGGAGTCGCAGTGGTCAAGTTGCAGTGGGTAAAGCCTTTTATTACTAGTAAGAATGCACTTTTGTGCATAAAGTGGTGAAAAGACCAAAGACAGCGGTCTAATGAAAAATGGAAAAACACCCAAACGCTTACAACACGCAGATGAGTACATACTTGCTGCACGCCAGGGGACCCTCCAAATTCAAACCCTTGTTTCTGACTGTGAATGGGCTCTGGCAGCTCGGTTGTGCTCTGGGGTATATTTTCCTGGCATGCTTTAGCTCTATTCAAACCATTTGAAGAAAAAAAAAATGATGTAAACAAGCACAAAGTCATTCTACTGTAAGTTCATGTTTATCATATGGGATCTTCCACACTCAAAATGCCCCCATACACTGTGCACATGGGGCAAATGAATAGCTATGGATGGAACCCCATTCTCCATGACTGTGATATCCACAGCCCGTGCATGGCCACTACACTGTCTGAAGAGTATGAAAACGTTGTAAACAATATGCCCTAACCTTCCCACTCACCAGGGGCCTGTTTCACGAAGCAGGATTTCTTGCTTAACCGGATAACTTGTCAGATTTAAGGTAGTCTGGGCTAAATAGACTTTATTTTCATCCACTTACATTTGGCCCAGGCTACCTTAAATCCTACATGTTATCCAGCTAAGCAAGAAATCCTGCTTTGTGAAACAGGCCCCAGATCCCAAACCAACCAAAAGAAAAATTCTTAACAAAACACAAAAAATGTTCCAGACTCTCCGCCATGGTGCACTGAAGCTGTGTTGGCATCGCCTAGTAGTTCACTGACCTATTTCTACAGAAACACTTTTAGAGAGATGTAATGTTAGTCTTGTATCTTTGTGCCAGTTCGCTTTGCAGTGAACAGCTGGTAAACTCCAGTGTTATCAGAAAGCTGGATAACGCAAGTCTGAGTAGAATAGTCCATTACAGCTGGGATGGAGGGTAGAATAGTCTCAGAGTAGAATAGTCCATTACAGCTGGAATGGGGGCAACTTTGTCTGCCTTGAAAACTGTCACCAAAAATGCAAACAACATACATTTTGCTATCATTTAAATGACCACATTATGTTATATTCCTAAATATAACTTCTGGAAGTTCTTCCTTCATGGAGCCCCTAGTTTTCGAGGGACCCAGGAGACTGTCTACCCCTGCCTTTTGGTTAGTCCGTCCCTGCTTGTCAGTCAAGCACTGATTATAAGCCATAGGACCAACCTTGGTTATGGAGATCCCTTAATTGCATGTTCCATGACTTCTAAATATGACTGGTGTGCGTCTGCATGAGCATTGGTTTGTACTGATGCATGTTCTTGCATCTTGACACACGCGCTTGCGTCCTATTAATGAATACACAGGACGCCGAGTGTTCAATGACATTCATCTGATATTCTCCACTCCTTCATAGGGCCCACAGGAAAGCAAAAACCCCTGATATACTGTCACACGTATCAATCAGGGTTAGGTGGAAAGGATTAATTTCACATTTACCTTTTTTTCCACCCTTTAATGACTAAAGATATATGATGAAGTGGATAAAGCATGATTTTATTTTATTTTTTGTCGTAACAGCTGGACAGTACAGAAAAGGGAGAGGGTTTCATAGCAAAGGACACATTTGTCCAACTGCCAAACTTTGGAGCTGATATGTCATGAGGTATCTGATCCTAGTTGATCCTTAAAACCCTTGTGAATGTTTATGTGATAAAGTGGCTCTGAAAAATATAATGCAATAAACGGGTGAAACATTCTTTGTATGACTATAATCTTGGTTGTCACTAGAGCTGTTATTCGAAGTAAAACGTATACCAGTATGAACGGAAATTTCTTACTAAACTCGCTTACATCGTTCAGGTATTTCTTACTGCTGACGTTGGAGGTCAAAATTAAAAGTATCATGTCAATACGTAAGTAATTAAAGAAAACATATTTATTTAAAAATACAAGTTACACTTTGGCTAAACTAGAGACTCCTTTTTCAGTTGTATTTTTCCTATCCTCTGTGTTTTAAAGGTTGGTGACTTCTCGTCCCATCTCTCAATTCTCATTTAATTCACTGTCATTTAGTTTATATATTGCCATTTTGTGACATTTAACTGACAGCCCGCAAAGCTCTGGGGTGTCAGTCTTGCTTTCCAGCGGCCGCTTTCCTCCTCCCCCCACCACAGTCCAGTGACGCCGGGTCGGGGAAGAAGATGGCGGCGTCCGAGCAGGCGGAAGGTGAGGGAGGGTTCCGGGCTGCTCTGCCTTGCGGGCTTGCTTGCCTTTCCTTTCGCTGTCAGACCCATTAAAAGCGAGGCTCCGGTGGTTTTGCCTTTGTGTTACCGGCTATGCAATTTCACCGTCGATTCGCGACACTTTCCGGAGGATCGCTGCCTGTGCACCGTGGTCATATAGCCAGTTTAATATTGAAATATGATCGATATAATTCGGGTGCAATATCGATCCTTTTACGCAGCGCTGACAGCCGGCCGGCAGGGTCCGGTGCCGTATGCTTTGGTGCCTGATCCGATCGCTCGCAGTCTTGCTGGACATTCAGTTAATATAGTCTGTGGTTTGTGTCATTGCGTCCTCGGACGGGGTTGGTAGGTTGATCGAGTAACCAGCGGCGGCGGGGCCCTGGCTGAGGGCATGGGGTACGTAGCCCGGAGCCGGCGAACCACCGCGCTGCAGCCTGTTAACAATCAGCAGATGGACAGTGTCCCAGCGAAGAAATACCAACTACCACTGGCCCGCTGAAATATTTAACAAGTTGTTTTAATAGATAAGTCCTTTCTGCTGTGTAACCCTGTTTTCCACCTAATACCAAACTTATTTTTGTTATTCCCCCTGACCAGCACAGTCTTACAGCTGCGTTTCTAATTATAATTGAAGTAAATGAGACACTTACTTGATCATTTAAATTTAATATATATTTTAAATGTTTCTAAGTTTATTTCTTTTTTACAGTTTGTTTTCGACAGACATTAAAGCAGTCCCTGCTGACTTTTCTATAAACAATCGCGTCCTGCTTAAAAATAGTGAATAATAAATTGATGATGTAAAACGTTTGCTCGGGGTCTGTCTTGCTTAATTAATGTAGCCTATTGTTTGCACTAATCTGCAAGGTGCTTTGGTAGAAAATTAGTTTTCAATTCTCATAAATGGAAACTTCTTAACTATTAAAACATCATTTATATACATATAGGCCTACATAAACTATATGTATATTAACTGTTTGCCTTTTTGCAAGATTTCAGATATTGTCGCGGCAGAATGTCAGCAGGTGGTTATCTGAAAGTAGAGTTATACTGACCAAGAAACTATGAATGTATAAATTAAAAACCGTCATCTTTCAGTGTCCATGACTAAACAGCTTTCTGCATATAGCTGTATGCCCACACCACTTCTGGTGCCAGTTTTTATTACCATGCTTGTTTGATGCGCGTTTTGATATTTCACAGTAGCATGTTTAGTTACGTTTTAAGAAAGCCGCTTCGCAGAGCTGGTTCACCAATGGTGTTAATGCGTATCGTGTACGTGTCACTTGTGATCAGGACTGTTGGATTTGCTTGTGTTTTTCCTACAGTATAGATTAAGCGGTAGTATCGATTGGGGAGTCTGTCTTGCTTTCTCAGGTTCTGTCCAGAGAATTGGCTTCCTAGGAAGGATAATCTAATTGATTGTGTGTCTGTGGCATATTGCTATGTCGGATAACAGACAGCTGGGCACAAACGGGACTGTCACCGTGCTGTAAGACGAACCAGGCGGTGTGACAGTAGGAGTCTGGGTCCGCTTTGGTTCCTTTTTGACGTCACCGCTGAAACTCTCCCAGCCTATCCATGTGTTCATTATCGTTCATTTCCAGTACACCTGATGTAACTAATTATGAACCTGGAGATTACTTCATTAGTTTAATTACCTGGCGGTGGAACAGAGCAAATATATGGAACAGGTGTGGGTCCTGAGGGGGGGATAGGGGGGCACTGGTGAATATGTTTGACGGTTATGTTGTAATATCCAAGTGTGAAATTTCCTCTTTGACATCTTTCTCTTGATTGGCTGTCTTTTTGTGCACAGGGACTTGCATGATGAGCCACCTGGCGTGTGACACACAGTGTGGCTGTGGTTTAGGCGGATTTCCCAACCCAGTTCATAGCTACCTGTCAATACACTGTCCTGTTTCTCCACTTGAGATCTGAAAGCAGGTCGGATCAGCCTGAGAGATACATTGCATTACCGCACTCTTCCAGTGAGATGCCCTGGGACCTGTGTGCTCCCCGCTGCACAAATCTGAGTCCCTTGCGCAGAACAGCCCTGAATGATTTGGGAGGTGAATGTTGTCTCTAGACCACTTGGGACTCGAAGTGATTGTTTTGGCTGTATTTTGAAAGGCTTTTACGAAAACAAGACTTGTCATATGTGGTAGGGGATCGATCCGTGCATAAATGCCAGCAGATGTTATTAAATTTGTTCTGCTGAAATATACTACAACAATGACAAGAAAATCCCACATGCAAGATATGCCTGACTGGGATTTCATGTTGTGATGTTTGGTCTGCCTCTTCAGATGTGTTTTTGCAGACACAGAACGATTTTCAAAGGCTGAGCTGCAAATCCCAAACAGGCATGGCGTTAATGAATGAGCCTCCAAATGACTGTCACCGTTGATGCAATCTATCCTTCATGAAGTGATCCGTTCCTCTTCTTTAATACTCTAAATGCAAAGAAGTCAGTAAGACATTCTCCGCGTCCCCTGTTACTTTAACAGTGGATAAGCTGTAGCAGAGATGATGTTTACATCCGTAGTTAATGTTGGAAACCTGTAAGCTTGACCTTCCAGCACCAGGCTCTGCAGAAGGTCTGCTCTCACCTCTGTGTTCCACCAAAATCCTGGCCAACTATTTATGTTTTTCTTACTTAAAAATAAAAATTCACCCTAAAACTTATTTTGTTAGTGCCCTGTACCCAAACCCTGACAGGTCCTAAATATTACAGGATGCCTATAGGATAGTAGGAGACCAAACTCCTTCATTCATAAGCAGTGGGCATGTCGGACCAAGCATAGGATGGTGTTTTTGCATATGGGGTTAGCATTTATTAGTTCTTACGGCGCCCCCTTCAGGCCGTGTCTAGAACAGAGACATAAGCCAGTTCCCAAAGCCCAAGTACCGGTCCTCCCAATCTACAAACTGGAAGGACTCTAAAAGTTGATTGAAAGTTCTTCACATCTCTGAGAAATACTTCCCAATCTTCAGCTGATAAAGGGTTCTGTGCATGATGACTTTTCCATGTTTTCTTGGCCTGAAGACCACAGTCTCATTAGGATTTTCGCTTCCCACAAAGGAACAATGCGTTGGATGTCATCAGACGGCCGATACATTGTAACACGCCAGAACCTCCTTGGAGACAGAGCTGGTCTGGGGTAGATCCAGCTCTTCAAAACATGATGTGGTTGTGTACCCACATAAAAGACACACTGTTCTGAAGCAGTTTATTAATTAAAGTCTAGGGAGAAACAAAAACAGATTAGGCTCTGTTATGGCAGGCATCACCGTTTGCATGTGGTTTGGCTTAAAGCCCTTATTACCGACCCCCCCTGGGCACTTTATGGATTTCTCAATATGAGCAATAAAATGTACTTTTAATATGTGACTTGACTCAATTCCTTAGCCATGATGTCGTTTTTAAAACGGTTTTTATGTGCAGTTTTGCATCCTCATTGAAATCCACTGGGTACTGTTTGAAGATGGGCTTTTGTCAAGATCGTTTAGCTCGCGCGGGGGGGGGGGGTTGAAAATGCAAGCAGCTAATCGACTTGAGAAGGTGAATTATTTACACAGTGGAATGTATCTTTGGGGTCTAGTCCTGATCTTTAACGAGAGAATGTGGGATTTTGTGGTTGTCCGTGCGCCTGTATGTGTCTGCCCACTTACGGAATGGGGATTTCTTGCCTTGCGTGTTTTACCTGTAGGTGCACTGCTAGAGATTTTGGGTTCCCTGACCCAGACCAATCCAGTTATGTTCTAAATTTGTAGGACCCCTGTCACTCAGAGGCCCTTAGAATCGTCCTAACATTATGGCCCCCCTGCTAACAGGTTTCAGGTCTAGATGCTTGACCGTGTCTGTATAGATGGTGCACTCTGGTCCACCTACTGTAGGCCCCCTTCCCCTTTTCCATCTCCTGCTCCTCCCAGGGTGAGTCATCTTATCTCCTTCGTTGCTTTTTCAAATGCATTTACTTTCCAAATGTGTGTGTTTCTTTCATTCTGGCAGCAGAGCCCCAGGGCCTTTGATGGCTGTTAAGAGCGTAAATGTTCCCTTCGCTTTTAGGGACAGTGAAAGCATCACCCAGTGTTGGTTTGCACACATTATACCAGATGTAGTTCTGCTCTGCCTCATATGAGTGGGAGACCACCTTCTGCTGGGGGTTGACTGTGCTCTTGTTCACAGTTTGACTTGCAAATGGACTTCGTGAGAATGCATGCACATGAGCTTATTTCACATATGGGTTTACATGTGTATACTAGTGTGGAATTCGGATGATATCAGAATAGATTTACTTAAATATTATATGCATATATGTGTGTGTGTGTCTGTGTGTCTGTGTGTCTGTGTGTCTGTGTGTGTGTGTGTGTGTGTGTGTGTGTGTGTGTTTAGGGCCCCCATCATGAATGTGGAAAAACATTGGATTTGTTTGGGTTGAGTGCCCAATATGATGTTTTCTGTTTATATGTGAAGACTATCAGATAATTCAGATCTGAATAAGTAGTTGAGTTATTTTTTTCTGGAATGTTCCATGCGGTTATTGAGTCTGGCATGTCTCAAGGGTATTAGATTGTGAATCCTGATGGTATTTGTCACCTTCTGTGTCATTCAGTGTCAGCTTGTGGTCTGTTCTGGAGTGTGTGACTGCCCCCTGCTGACCGGAGGAGCTGTGTCCTGCTGGAAGCTCCACCATGAACAATAAGGAGAGTCCACCAGAGCGTGATGAGAGAGCCAGTCGCCGTCCTGGTGAGAGAGCAGCTGTTGGTGGAGCTCTGTTTACAGAATATGACTGTGTGTAACAATGCCGGGTGCTTTGTAACATTTTGCAACAATGTAACACATTGTAATAATTTGTAACAGTATATAACAGCATGAACTGTTAATGGTCCCTGTCTTATTATAACAAAATCAACAATGCAATATTGCCCCACCCATCCATCCATTTTCCAACCCGCTTATCCTACTGGGTCGTGGGGGGGTCCGGAGCTAAGGAACAACCCTGGACAGGGGGCCAACCGATCGCAGGGCACACTCACATACCATTCACTCACACACCATTCACTCACACACCTATGGGCATTTTAGTAACTCCAATTAGCTTCAGCATGTCTTTGGACTGTGGGGGGAAACCGGAGTGCCCCGAGGAAACCCCACGATGACACGGGAAGAACATGCAAACTTCACACACATGTAACCCAGGCGGAGACTTGAACCCAGGTCCCAGAAGTGTGAGGCAACAGTGCTAACCACTGCACCACCATGTCGCCCTATTGCCCCACCCTTTGTGATAAATTGTAACAGTATGTAACAGCCTATGCAATGTAACAATGCCTAATACTTTGTAATAATTTCTAAGTTTGTAACTGTATGAACAATGTAACAATGTCCAGAATGTTTAAATAAATTACAACATGGCAATTTGCAGTATGTAACCTTTTTAATATCATGTCAGAGTTTAGTACGTAACAGTGCATAACAAGTTTTTGATAATGTGTAACAGTTCTTAATGCCGTGTGACAGAGTGCAGAACCATTTCAGACAACCCTCCCGACTCGCTGTCTTCCTCTTTGTGCAGATAGTAAGAGCCAGGTGAAGGTGTTTCTGCCCAAGAAGCTTCTGGAATGCCTTCCCTGCGGCTCTGCGCTGCCCAAAGAGAGACTGCAATGGAACACGAATGAGGTGGGGAGGGAAGGGTGATGGGGGGAGGAAGATGAGGGAGATGAAGTACGTGCTGGGAGGGAGAATGCGGGGGGCGGGATCATAAGAGCTTGTTTGAGTAATGACATAAATCCAGAATGACTCTGGTCAATTTTTAGATGTGATTATTAGGCATTTTACTTTAATAAGAGGTGTATCCAGAGATGCGCCAGTACTGATGACAGAATGATGGAGGAGATGGATCCTGGTCTCTCTGGGTTTCATTTTTTTCCTCTTCTTTTAAAGGGAACTTTAAATTAGAAGCTAATTTAAAACCTGGAATCCCAGAGTGTCCAGCTATTTGTCAGCAGAGACCAACATTTTATTGAAATGAAAGGAAAATTGTAACGTTTCCTCTCCTGTTGGAGGAATAAGCCCTATAGTACCATCAGAGAGAGGCAGCGGTACAGTAGAGAGCAGGAGGTGGGAGGTGGGATGGTCACAGAGTCCCGGGCGGACTGAAGGATGTCCTCAACTCTTAAACCGCTTGCTTGCAGGAAATCGCGTCCTACCTGATCTCCTTCGACAGGCATGAGGAATGGCTCTCCTGCACGCTCAAGACCAGGTGAACTCCTCATATTGCTAAAATCCATAACATGTCAGTAGGTGTCTTAGAACTGACCTCTCGTGTCGCACGTTATTTGCACGTGTGGTCATCATGTTCTGGTTGCACGTCACTGTATAGGATGCATGTGGAATAACCCGTAGTCCTGATTACAGATGGCCCACCAATGCAGAGATAGAATCTGATGCATTATGGGATTCATGTTTGTCTTGTGTAAACCCCCCCCCATCTCTGCCAGGCCCATCAATGGATCCATGATACTTTACAACAGGAAGAAAGTGAAGTACCGGAAGGACGGGTATTGCTGGAAGAAGAGGAAAGATGGGAAGACGACAAGAGAAGATCACATGAAACTGAAGGTGCATGGCATTGAGGTGAGTGCCCCCTGCTGGACAATAAGTTATATTTTCAAGACCAGTCTCATCTGGATATATTTATTGAAATACTTTGGGTTTGTAACAGCTCAGCTGTGCGATAACAGTACTACAGCTCCCCAGAACATTGTTTACATATCAATAGCTGTGTTTCCATTAAAGTTTTACGCAAATTCGAAATGAATTTTCAATAAGTGGACAAAGTGAAATTGCGAATTACTAGATGTTGTGTGAATGATACTTGCCATTTATCATCCCGGCGAGGTCTCGTGCTTCGCCATGGAACAGGCTGTCCACAAGCTTGGTAGCTCTAGAAGAAATAATTGTCATGTCCTCCATATCTGCTCATTTGTAAATTCTGTTTCCATTGCAGTTTTGCAAATTGCTTTCTTCCTTAACTCGCCAAAAAAAAGTCCCTCAAGCAAACGCGCACATTTTTTTTTGTAATTATTTGAGGGATTTTTCCACACTTGAATGTTTACATTAGCAGAGCTTCAGTTTAAATCTTCAAAATGTGCAAAAAATAGATAAACGGAACTGCCACTGAAGACTGTGGGAAATATCAGCTGCTTATGTGCCGTGGGTCCGACTGGACGCACCAGCTCCACCTGTCTCTCTCTCGTCTCCCCCTGCAGTGTCTGTACGGCTGCTACGTCCATTCCTCCGTAGTCCCCACATTCCACAGGAGGAGCTACTGGCTGCTTCAGGTGGGGACTGGAGTCCTGTTTTTCCTGGCAGGTCTGAGTCCTTCCCTGGGGCTCTTCTCTCCGTAGCCTCTGCGGGCCCCTGAGCGGGGGGGCTTAGCCCCCAGCTCCAGCGGTGCTACGTGCTGGGTGACCTGCGCTGACTCCAAGATGCTCTCGCCTGTCTGTGTGTCTCATAGAGAGCAAGATGGGGGAGGTGAAAAGAGAATCTCCCCACAGGGATGAATACAGTATCGGTAGTCTATTCTGTTTTATGGCTCAAGCAAATACAGTGTGCTTTTGTTAGCTGTCCTCACATGTGCAGGTAGACCTGCCACCTTCTTTGTAGAATGGTGCCTGTTATACAGTCGGACTGAAATTTAATTCATTGAGCAGACGATTTAACAATCGGCTGCCAAATTTACTATTGGGAAATAAATGTAATAAATAAATGTAATAAATCACATACACAGAATCTTGTGGCTGAGCTATCGATAAGGACATGGTCATGTGACTCCGCGTCTGTGTGAATTCACACATCCCTCCCTCACCACTGCCCGCCAGAACCCGGACATGGTGCTGGTGCACTACCTGAATGTGCTCTTCCTGGAGGATTGTGGGACGGCTTTGCCCTGCACGCCTGCGGACTGGCGGGACAGTCCTCGCTGGACCCAGCAAGAGCTCCTCTTCCAGCTCAAACCCATGTGTGAGCTTTATTCTTATCATTTATTTAATCATTCGGGCCCCCCCCCCCACAGCCGACACCGCTCCTACGTCTCGCTCCGCCACACTCCCCCTCCCCTTGCGCCC